TTTCAAATTATTACCAATCCTGGACTAAGTGTTAATTTAGATAAATAATTCTGGGACTTTTGCTAAGCACTGTCTGTGAAACTGAAATATTTTTAAATTCCTACTCAACAAGCTGTGTATTAAAAACACAGCACATTAAAACTGCTTTTGATTATTAACAAATTATTTTTGAAAGCTACATCAGCCTATTGAAGTGCAAATATGTATTCTAGGGAATGTGTGTAGAATGAAAATTGAGATTGAAATAGAGATATTAGTCTGAGTTTGTCTGGGGAAAAAATAAAAAATACCTATCTGTATCCTCTTTCTATGTAACTAGTATTTTTATATTGTGGAAATGTACTCTTTCTTGCACTTTGTTCTTACTTTACAAAACACATTTTGTTTTTCTTGGTGCTGTGTTGTGTGCATTTCAAGGTAAAAGTAGGGTAATTTCAGAAATGTATTGCAAAGAAAAACGTATATATGCTAAAGTACTTGTAGCACTACACAAAAACACAAAACATTACGCCACACACTGTAATAGTTTACATGGACTATATTTCAAAATTAATCAGGTACAATCAATATCAAATACATAACATTAACAATATTCTGATCATCTTACTACATATACCTGCCAAAGTGGCTGTATGAGTCTTTCATATTAGTTAAATATTGTTCGATTTTAAATTAATATTGTAAAAATTAAAGTTGACTGAATTTTGGATTATTTGTGGTAAAAATGTCCCATTTAAATAAGTGTTTTTTTTAAGGGGGACAAACTTATTGAGTTATGGCTTTCATGTTCACAAGACATCCATGTCGCATGCCCATTCAATAATAATACTTCACTTCAACTATATTAATAAAGAACAGAATTTTATAATTTATTTGTGATCACTTTTCAGCAAAGTCAAAGCACTGTACAATATCAAACATAATACACAGCAGAAACTGAAAGTGGAGAAAAGAATAGCATAGTAAACTATGTGAAACCCAGAGTATAGCTAAATTAATTATAATGAACTTAACTAAAATAGAGATAGGTTTTTAAGAGACTTTAGAAAACGTCAGCAGTCGCAGAGACTCAAATGGATTTGGACAGTTAGTTTTACAGATGTAGCGCTGAGAGTGTAAAGGCTCTATCTCCCATTGTGTGGAGCCTGGCAGAATAAGAAGGCCTAAATCATCAGGTCTCGGATGGAGAGCTGGACTGTACTCATGCAATAAATCTTTAAAATAATCTAGAGCTAGACAATTCACTGCCTTATATGTGAGCAGAAGAACCTCAAAGTCCACTATAAATTTCACGGAGAGCCAATGCAATTTACGGAGAATGGGAATTATATGCTGATGTTAATGCAGAGTATGTTTACTTAGCAGATGAGCAGAAGAATTCTTGGTTTACTGAAGCTTATTCAGTACTTTAGAAGATTACCACATTAGGAAAGTTATTGTAGTTGTCAAATATTGATAAAATAATACATTTCAAATAAGTACCTCAGATTTAGATGGACCAAGAGTCTTAACCAACAAGTGTTACCTATGTGAAAGAAATATACCCTTGTTCTTCAGACACACTTCAAATAATAATAACTCATCATGTATTATTTGAGGACTTACACAAAAGTAACTCCTTGGTTTCAAACTTCCAGCACGTGTTTGATTTCAGCATCGACAGCAACAACAATGAAACCATCAGAGTTATAAAATTTGTGTATGGAGCCTCTGAGCATACCCTCGGTCGAGTCACCAGTTATGCTAAAGAAACTTACGTCTCCACCAGTGAAATGCAGAAACTGCAGTAATTCGATTGATTTGATTGATTGGGTGTACAAGTACATCTGAATGTTATCACGAAACCCAGGCCTGTGATGAAGAATAATCTAGCCAAGAAGCAACATGTGAATCCTAAACAGTAAAGGTCCCAGAACAGAACCCTGTGGAGTACACTGAATAAATGGGACAGCATCGGCTTTAAACCAGTCAAATATTTTTGAAATGGCTCCTGATGGCCTTTATTCACTGTGTTATCTGCAGTAACATTCTGCTGTTTGGAAGTACGTTGGAAGCCTTTGTACAGTAACTATATGGAGGCCTCCTGAGATAAGGAGCTAATCCTTAGAAAACATTCAGTTGTAGTCACGTGCATAATTTAAGGCAAATATAAATTGAGACCTGTATGTAAATGGTCAACTTCCAGAAGTTAAAGGATAATTAAAAAGCTGTGTGGACCACTGTAGTGTCCATTATATAGACATTTAAGGTTAGAGGTATAGTGGCAACAGAGATGAGAAGAGGGTGCAATGTGTCTTTCTCACAGAGTGGTTTGGGAGGAAACCATAAATTTGCAGGCACAACAAACTGCCATCTCCAGGATACAAAGTGTCAAAAACTGCCTTTTGGCATCACCTCTATGAATATGGATGTGTTATGTTATGGACATGCTTATCAATATTATGTTTTTTAGAAAAATGGTGAAAACACTGAAACACTGTCTAGGGGACTCTTATGTTTTTGTTTTTTTTGCATCTGCACGTTGTGGAGCCCTTGTTAAGGTATACAGTAAGGAGTCATGAACACTCCGACAAGTAACAGGACATTTTGACCAAATATGTAATTTTTTTCCCTATATTCTCTTCACTGAATATAATTCCTTACATTTGTATAGCACTTTTCTGGACACTCCACTCACAGCACTTTACAGGTAATGGGGACTCCCCCTCCACCACCACCAGTGTACAGCATCCACCTGGATGACAATGTCCCCATCACTATACTGGGGTATTAGGACCAACATGGACCGCAGGGTGAGCGCCCCCTGCTGGCCCCACTAACCTCTTACAGCAGCAACCTTAGTCTTTCCCAGGAGGTCTCCCAACCAAATCCTAGCCAGGCTCACATGTTCTGAGCTTCAGTGGGTCGCCAGTTATCAATTTCAGGATGACATGGCTGCTATCCATTCCAGATGAGAATATACAAAACACTAACACAGATCTGAATAAATGTGAAATTCACTGCCTGACTGAGGAACCTCACAGAGATAGGTGTATTCTGAAATCTTGTCAGCCACTGTTATGGCACACAGACAGAGGTCCCCCAGCTAATTGTGTTGTTCAGTCAAGTAATTCTGTGCACCTAAACTAATTTAGGTTTGCCACATTTTTTGAGGTTTTGAATACTTATGCAATAATGCCTCTTCCATTTTTCTTTGTTTTTTAATTTATGGGGTTTTTTTTGCTTTTGATTTGTGCTTTTTGCTCTGCTTCTATACATAAATATTAATTGCTACTTTAAAGTGTTAAGACTGCAAGTTTTAAAACAACAAAAATGTGGAAAAGGTGCAAGGGTGCTTTTTCAAGGCACTGTTCAGACAATAAATTTGTACTTTTTTTTTCTTTTATTCAAAGACTTGCTGATTATGCTTTTCTGGAGCAAGAATTGTTACATGAGCCAGCCTACTTATAGGAAGTAAAAGAGATCACTGGGAAATTTGTACTTTACAACTCTGATGCTTGTTTAGTAAAAAGGCAAATGTAAGTTGAGAGTTGGCACAATTAATTTAGAGATGAATGTCTTATGAGTTGAACTCGAGCTTCTTAATGTCTTGTAGTAATAAACTAATGTTTAGCAGCTACCACTCTGATGATATTGTGTGTGTTACATTGCAAAGGATAGCACAGGAATAGAGGCGAGTAGCAGTACTTAGCTTAGATCGTACCATGCGGTCAGAGTGTGCATGATGATCCTATTCTGTATTTTTTTTTTTTTCCCCAGGAAACTATACATCATAATTGCTATTGTTCATGGATCCTGTTTTTAATAAGTCATTAAGCATGCTTCCTAACAACAACAGCCTCCCTCAGTCTAATTTCTCACTGGATAATGTTTCAATGCACTACAGAGTTTTTTTCATTGTTTTAACAAAGGCCTAAGCACCTGTCTTTTATGATGTTGTCTTCAGCATTTTGCACAACCTACACTGTGATTTATTCATGACAAATAATATTGTGTTGACGCCTCTGTCATACAGTAGCTCAACCAGTGAAGGCATTTGCTGAAAGTCGGGGCTATTTCATTTGCCATGTGTAACCCGTTCCTTCAAAACAGCAGCGAACAGCTGTTCCAGGAATTCTGGGGTTGGGTGGGTTGGAGGTGGACAATGTATCCTTGTCTTGGGATGTTTCAGGAGCCTGTAAGCTTGCAGTTATGTCATTGAGAGTTGCACTTCTCCTGTAACTGGTGCTGCCTCTTCCTGTAGGGAGTATGGAACAAGCTACCCAGTCATATCATTGAAGCCAGCGCCTTTTATCTTTTCAATCAGGACAAGAGGCAGTTCCTTTCTGAAAGAAATGTCCAAGTATAAAACAAGCTAACCAACCACGTTGTTGAAGTTGATATCCTGGCATTTTCACGCAATTGTAGATGAGATCTTTGGTTCTGTTAAGTACTTACTACGATCTGTGCTAGTTACCAAATGTCCTCTTCTTGTTTGTAACCATTTTTTTTTCTTGTGCTTTATCTGCATTATGTTCTTATAATGTAAATAGCAAATATCAAATTAAATTGAAAGTATGTGTTTGTTGGAGTGGTATATATGCAGTCATCTTTCTCCTTTCGTAGTTAAAGGGTTGATGAATCCACAGAATTTGTAATACTGTGTTGTTCCATCACTGTTTGCTGAAAAACATTGCTTGGATGTTTGAAGTTTAGGCTGTATATGAAATAATTATTGTAATACGTGAGAATTGTGGTCTATCTGTGTAGGGCATCAGTAAAGAAAATAATTGGATATTGTTTCTTTTGTTAGTGTAAGTTAAAATAAACTCTTAGACGCTTTTCTGTATTATTTTCCTTTAGCTTTTGAGCTCTAATTCATCACCTTTGTCTCTTCATTACTTTTGAAAATGCGTTACTGTACTGTAATCTTTGTTAAAGAACATTTCCTTGGGTTAGAAGGCAAAAGGAACTGACTATTTGTGAGTACAGCTTAATTGTTTCATTTTTCTTTCTCCCAGGCAAAACAGATAGAGGGTCCTATTCGTATGGAAGAGATTCTAACTTACAAGGTTGCCACCAGGTAAGCAATATGATTTAAATCAGAATTTCTGGTAGTGACAGATAAGTGTCAGTGCCAGACAGAAACTTCAGATATGTCAATTAAACAGGATTTTTTTTCTTTTCTATTTTACTTTTCTCACATTACAAGAAGTGTCCGTGTTCAGACTTTTGTTAAAGTTAAAGGGAGGGGAGGTTAAAAATGTCTTTGCCTTCGTATTTATTTATCACCACTGTGCAGAACTCCATGTAGCATGAATGCAGCCACATTTCTACTTATCCGCGTACATTGGTACTTTTGAGTTCTGTTCCTCTTTCATGTGTTTGAACTATCTCTCGATATCCTTAGGAGCAAATTAATAGCCGTCTTTCCATGCTTTTGGTTCATGTCACATTCATCAGATGGCTGATGTAATATAGTTTGTGTATCAGGTATGAAAAGTGGACATAAGAAATTATGTATGGTATGGTGATGAATATTATATCTTGGCTTCATCATTTCAATGGCAATGAATGACTTTAAACTCCAGATGTAGGCTCTTTATTATGCCATGAGGGGCTGTGCTGTAGAAGTCAAGTCCTCTTTAATGGGGACCCAGAAACTTAATTGATTTTTTTTTATTTCAGAAATGATAATTTTCTTAGTGTATTTGGGGAGTTGGAAAACAGTAAATCTGCTTGTTTGTGCCTTGCTACATTTTTACATCTTGCATATAATTTCAGGCAAAATAAAATGCCAGAACAATGCAAACTCATTAATTATGTATAATAACTGGATTTGCAGTTCTTTTAAAAGTAGGCAAATATGCTAAAATAACAAATTACAATTTCAACTTCTCTTTCCTTGCTGCTGACAAGAATGTTTTTTTGTGTTCACAGATTTGTGATGAACATTTTTGTAATGCTGATCTCATAATATTGTTTTTAAAAAGCTTGGTTTTCAGGGATTAAGTTTTGAAAATTACCTCCAGCTTGTTCTTGTGTGTCCTCTTATTGGATTCGAAACATTTTGGACATGAGTATATTCCACTTGGTGAAACTAGGGAAGGTGAAACGTCAGCAGTAAGTCACTGTGAGGGAAGTTTAGAAGAAAACCTCTTCTTGTCTCAGGAAAGGGTACAGTGTGTTTCCATTGTGTGAAATGAAGTCTGAAGGCCAAAGGTTCTTGTCATTTATGAAAAATTATCATGCTTTGAAATTAATCTCTTTTGACAGCTGACAAGACAGAGCCATCAAAGGACAGGCACATTTGTGTGATTGACGTAACTATACGGGATATGTCTAACGAAAAACATAGATCTACAGTGCAGTGGGAATTCCACTGAGGTTTTGATATGAAATCATTCTCCAGAGTCTTCTGGCTCTACTACTTACAGAAATGCTTTCTTTCTGAAGCACACAGCTTTCATCAGAGCAGGACTTGGCAGACGGTGTTTTACCTCATTTACCCCAATTTCTGGTCCGTCTTGCAAGCATGACCTTCTGTTATATTTTTGCACCATACTTTCAGGGGCTTTTGAGGGTATAATCAATGTGCTAGCCCTATACGATAAGAATATCATAGTAGACCAAAATATATCATAACATTTTGGCATAGATGTATTGTATTAGTAGATGTATTTTTCATTCAGGAATTAGGAATTAAGGAACATAGTCCCTAGCCACAACAGAATTGACAGTATATTCCTTATGGAGAGAATTCTAGCATATCAGCCAAGAGCCTGGGAATTAAAAATGGAAAAATAAAGGCCAGAGCAGTAGGTGACAAACATGTTATGTAAACTTGGGCCAGCAGTGCCCAATTTTCAGACCCCATTAAATATAAATATAAAATCTTAAATATTTCCAGCATATTACATAATATGGGTCACAAACTGCTGTGAAACACTTATTACCTTTTTTTCTGCAGTTGTAATTTTTCAGTGCATAAAATAAAGCACTTGTGTTTCTTGGTGCTTATAATTCTCAGAATTTCTCTTTGCAGTTATGTTATGTTAAAGTTATCAACTCACTATTTAAAAAAAAATCTTCTTCACCAATTCATTTAGTTTCCTAGATTACATTTAATAACCTTTACTTACTGTATTTATCACATTTCGTAAAGTTCTGTTGACAGCTCTTCTCAGAATTCCATTAATTCACCTGAGGTTTTTGCTGTTACTTTCAGTTTATTGTATTCAGTACACAATAAGCTATCACTGCTAAGTGTAGTTTAATATCCAAAGCCTGAACTCCTGTGGTTTAATGTGACTACAAACATTATCTGGATTCACCTAAAATACCCTGAAATAAAAGACTCCACTGTTTTTAAAACGATACAGCTGTTTCTCTGAAAGTGTGTACTGCCTTAGGTGTCATTCCACAGCCAATGGCAATGTCAATGACCTTGAGCAAAGAAATGACCTTGGTGACTCTTACATTTAAAGGGACTGAGAGGTCACAGGCTTCAAATGTGGTTTTGACAAAGATGATACCTCATACTGTAAACCACATGCTGTACCACAGAGTGAATAACAAACTGACTCACTCTGCCCTAGCACACACCCTGTTATACTGCAAACCCTCTGTGAGGCCTTTTTAGGAGGAAGTGGACACTAGTCAGTGATAATGTTCGCTTAGATGAAAGTGGTTCAGGGCTTTGCACCCTTGTAGTTCGTAGTGGTGAGCTGAAATTTGATAGAAGCTCTGTAAACAAATTGCACACAGCTGAGTGAGCAAGTACAGACCTTACTCTGGGATTACTTTTTTTTACCCAGTGGGAAAAACACACATATTTAGAATTCATTCTCAAGATATTTGAAATCATCAGGTAAAAAAACCCCAGCACACCGTACCGCATCAATCGTAAGTATGTCTCAAATTAGAGTGGAAAACCTTAAAGAAATCAGAAATTCTTTGGCTACCTCTAGGATGCTTTATTAATAGTCTTCTCTACAAAGCATTGGGACTGTGTACTGGCGAGAAGGAATTTGACATTATATAATATTGGTTGTTTGCAATATCGAATTGAGCCAGATTTAAGCACGCGTCTTTGGTCGTTTTGACAGGCGTTCTACGTTGTATTGGTTGTTTCTAGAGGAAGGTGGGATTCACAGGTCTTTGGCAAGAGAGGCTGGGGGCACGGGGGTCCCTCTTGACCTTCAGCTGATCTTGACTAGAGCCTGCCTCGCCCCTACATGCCAGGGAGCTCCCAGACCACTGAGGGAAGAAGCAAGCCACCCACCAGAGCAATAGGCTGAAACTGTCTCCTCTGAAGACACGGAGCAGCAGGAGATGCCATAGAGGCCTAATCCTAAGAAAACAACTGCTGCCAAAATTCGGAATTATATTTGAAGGTGGGAGCAGTGTTGCCTGCCACTTGCGGCCGGCTGATCTCTTTCAAACTGTTGGAAGTCAGGAGACTGGTGCGACTGCTCATGCAGGTCTACAGTAATGACTTCAAGGTTTAGTTTAAGGGGAAAAAAAAATGTTGTTGGAAAACACTTTACTTTTCTGCCGTCACATCTCATGTTTAGTCCCTTTATGGCTTCCAAAAAGTTTAATTTCAATAACTCCCAGCAAATTGCGCTTTTTATAAGATATGCCATTAAAACATATTTCAAAAAGCATATCGATATATACACTTTACCTCGTACAAAGGATTTTATTTTTGTTCCTTTTGGTGACTTGGGGAACTGTGAATGCCAGTGCACTATGATTTATTGTTTATTTTTGTGACTGAAATACATTTGGCTGAGAGTCAAGGCCAGCCGGCTACCAGCAGAATGCTCTGAAGAACAGCCTGCGTAAGCAGGAAAAATAAAGAGAATTCAAAAGAAAAATATACACTGAGCAAGTGTATATTTCCATTACGATGCTGCAAAAACACGCAATTTTGCTTCAGCATCAGCTGACCTCAGTGTTGCTGTAATTCCTGTAGCACTCCTTTAACTTCATCTGCTTTCCTTCATAAGGCAGAATTTGTGCCTGCTAATTGGTTTGGCATGTTTAATGATAATTTCATTTATTAGAATTAATTCTGAGGTTTTTAATGTGCATCTTAGGAAATTTTGACATGGAACAAGTAGACTGAATTCAGCTGACATACTTATTTATCCATTCAGTTTAATGTTCCTAATGGCCCGGTGTGCTATACGCATGAAGGCCAACTTACAAAAACTGTACAAGCTACATGGGAGCTGAATTTCATTTTGATCAAATTATCATATTTCATTTAGACCTTAGAACAGTAACAAACACAACTGTCTAATGCATTTTCATCACACTAAGGCATTCCTCATCTTCTGAGTCTCAGTGTCATTAAGTAGTGTTTTAGCTTCTTGGCAGGTAGCGTCTGTTAACAGTTTTCTTTAATTCCCGTGTCACTGGGGGGAATACTATGTTGCCGTTTGGGTCCTGGGACTGTGCGGCTTTCCCATTTTGTATAAATTTGAATGCCTTTTTTTGGAAATTAAGCAACCGCATGCGCAAATTTTACCCAACTGCGAAGAAAATCTTACTTCTGTTCACAAGTTAAAAGGTGTTTTCATCTCCCATTTTATGGCGGTGGGTTTCTCTCGTGGGAGGTGGGATTATCAACCTGAATGCTCTTCTGTTCCATCAGCTCAGTGCACTGTGGGGAATGTGCCGATGCTGCCTGCTCGGGGCAGGACTTCGACACTTTCGGGCCTTTCTTTCACGTTTTCATTACCAAGCCTGTTTCTTTTTTTTTTTATAATCAGTAAGCTGGCAAATGCTTGGCGTTATCTGCCTCATGGGAATGTGCTTATGGTGATCAAACATTCATGCAATTGCTATCCTCACCACCTATTTTCTAAATCAATATTTTATTAGACCCCTACACCAGCTTTGATATCTTAATACAGTGGCCTGCAATGGATTTAAAAAAAAAAAGATTGGCTGTCTGAACATTAATACAGGACACTGTTTAAGAGATCTTCTCATCAGTCTTTTATGTAGGGTAGCTGATCAGTTTCACTTTTTTTTCCCTTCTTGGTTTTTTTTTTATTTATTTTGAGCCGC